ATCTTATGTATTGGTATGGGATGCGGTAACCCACAAGCATGACAGAGGACGGAAGAGGAGATCGAACCGCAGCGAACTGTCTGCTCCTTGCCGATGCTTGCATCTGTAAGTGTAGATAATCTAGCTTGATCTTATGTATTGGTATGGAAATTTTATGTATTTCACCGTAAATGATTCTCAAGGGAGAAGGAAGGGACGAAGAAGAAGGGCAAGAGGAGGAAATTGGAGAAAGCAGCGAAAAACGTATGGGAGGAGGAAGGGACAGATAGCGGAGAATTGACTCAGCAGAAAGTGAAGAAGACGAAGAAGAAGGACAAGAGGAGGAAATTGGAGAAAGCGGCGAAAAATGTATGGGAGGAAGAAGGAACAGAGAGCGGAGAATTGACTCAGCAGAAAGTGATGGAGACGGAGGAGAAGACTCGCGTAGCAGAAAGGGTAGAGGCCACTCGTCGACGCTTAAGAGAAAGGGGTGATTCCGGCGTGAAGCTCTTCAACCGAGAGAACGAATGTGTGCCGTAAAGTAACTTTTGGTGTTCATAAGCATGTCCATTCTAGCTAGCAATTAGTATTGGTTTAATTTCAGCATAGGGTTTGATGTGCAGGGAACCTGTTTTAAGATGGTGGACATGTTGAGTTGGAGCTGTCCGATCGGTAGATATCCAGACTTCCACAGACATATGAGCATCACTGCTAAGCTTCCCCAATGGGAGACTTCCCCCGGCGTTGTTTCCTTGAGATTCATGATAGTCCCAACCCAACACACTGTTTTATCGTTGAAGGTAAAATCACTCAACTCCCAAATTCATGTCTGTCCTTGCACACTTTGTGTGCACTCTACAACTTGTAAACCACATTCTTCACAGTGCACTCTTTACAAATTTGCCAAGTTTGACTGCACGGATATTAACAAAGTAAAAACTGTGTTTAATACATAGAGGGAGTATAGGTTTTAAATGTCTTTAGCTCTTTAATTGAATACAGAAGGTTATGAAACTCACATGCGTTAGCACTTGGCTGCAAAATTTAAAATATATACTCCCTCCGTTCTCTAATAGATGGGAGTATAGCCTTTAGCACAAGTTTTAAGAAGGAATTAATAAGGGTAAGATAAAATGTGTAATGGGTTGTGTGTAAAGGAAAAAGTTGGAAAGAGAATGAAAAAGTAGGAAAGAGAATGAGGATATATAGGTATATTTATTGAAAAAACTTTCTAAAAATGGAAAGAGAGACATGTATCGGAGAACATCCCAAAATGAAAAGAGGGACATGTATTAGAGAATGGAGGGAGTATATATATTACTCCGTATTTCATAATATCAACACCAATAGGTTTCTTGTTGTTTCATGGTAGTTTTATTTTGCTCTAACTAAAACTATTTATTTTTTCAATCTTGTCCATCTATATTACAAATCACCCCGCAATAATGTTGCAACTTGCGACTCGCAATGTCCATCAATCTGTTACGGATTATGTTTTGTTCCAGAAATAAATCTCCAATGAAACAGAACTTAATTTCAAGCATATATTCTAATGTGTAATATTTAAGTGGTGGTTGATTGATGGAGTACCAAGGGGCGTTAGTATTGAGGGGTACTAATGGCAAGTGTAAGTATATAGTATACACATACCTAATAATGTACGGAGTAAGTTTTTTCACTTAACAAAAGTGTCCTTGTACCTTTGACTCCAATTCTTCTACCTGTGTTATCTATACGCTGAGTACTCAGCGAGTACTCACAATTCGGGGGTGGCCGTTCTTTTTAGCAATCCATCTTGGCCCGTCCTGTTTTCCCGTTAGTACTTGCCGAGTTTCTTAACGAGTTACTTGGGCAGCCATAATGTTTTTGGGGTTAAATCTGAAAAGTTTTAATTAAAGAGTGATCTTATGGTATGTATAAATAATAATGTGGTATTTTAAAAATTGAAAATTAATCTTAAAAAGGTTTAGAAGTATTTCACTCGTTCTCGCAGTGATACCTCTTCAGCTCTGGGTAAGTTATTCTCCCCCATTGCTGTATCTTCTTTCTTGTTTCTTCATTAGGCTTATTATTATTTTATTCATATGTAAGAGTTGTAAGAATAATATGTTACAGTACTACAATTTTAAAAATATATATATTTTATAAATTAATTAATATAGGGGCGAGCGTACACTGACTAATCTCGAGTACTCAGTTGTACTCACTACTCGTCCCTCGACCAAGTTGCTACCAAGTAGTGTTTTACCTACTTAGCTTCACATAAGTCTACGTATGCATATGATTTCAGAATTAAATCATATTGGAATATAAATCAGCACCATTAAACATAAATTTACACACAGGAATACGTATATGGTTTGAGTACATATTGGTTGAAGTCAAGCATCTAAGAACAACTTCGGGATATTTTGTTCTGAGAATCTTGCAATACTTTTGCACTTCCATTACTAACACTTTTCTTAATATGTATGTGCACATAGTTGATCCCGAGACAGCAAACAATTTCTGCTCTGGTGGCTTTCGCATCGGATGGTTTGACTACCCAAAGGGTTTCATGGGACCTCGCTTCCCTCAAACAGCGAGCGCAATGAAGAAATTCTTTTGCAACAGTCGTGCTTCTAGTTACAGGAGACTCAAGCCTCATTAATTTATGTTTGTACCTTTGTATCTTTGAATATCGAATTTACTGTATTTATTAGTAACCCCTCATAGCACTGCAATTGTGCAAGCTCCTATTTATCTATTTTGTAACCCCTTTAAAAAAATCTCCTATATATCTGGTTCGCTACCCAGGTTAGCGGTACTCCATGTCTATATGATTGATGATGGCTTTATATCTTCTCTAGTGTGTTTTGGCTTACATCATATATAAATTATAAAGCGGTTACATCAGTTTTTAACATTAAAACAACCAGGAACAAAACATATTACACGACTTTTGGACGCAACACTCCTTTGGGAAAGTCTTTGGATTAGATACAACTTGATCTCCCTCTTACCTTGTCAAACACAAGTGTGAGAACAGAAACATAAATTTATTTAACACGTTACTACAAATGCTACAATCACACCGCCTTGAACTTTTAGAGTTTTAGGTGTTTATTTAGGTATATGTGGTAGTAAGTAATGCATAATATAAGTAATATTACACGCACATTTTTACTTCACATGATTTAGAATACGGTTTAATATTAAGATGTTACACTAACTTGCAGGGGCGGAGCCAGACATTAGTATAAGGGGGGGCGAAATATAATATGTATTAAAATGCTTCGTATAAAATATTTAAAAAGGTCATCTACATAAATTTAAAAAAATTTCTAACAAACGGGCTAAAAATGTGATATTCAATTATAATATTAAAAAGTACAATGTCATAATCATACGAATAATCTAATGTCATATAATTAATTATTCACTAAATTTTTTCATAATGTTATTACTTATATTAATTTATTTGACAACAAACTAATTTTTTACATAATGTTATTACTTATATTGATTTATTTGACAACAAATGAACAAACTAATTTTTTACATCATGTTATTACTTATATTGATTTATTTGACAACAAATTAACCAATTTGTTCACTAATTAGTGGCACGCTATTTTGAGTTAAAGTTGTTGTGCATCTTTTCGATTTCCATGCTTAGCAGCCACACTTACCTTTTGAATGTTTAGGTAAACAAAAAATTATTTACTAAATACTCCATATTATTTAGGGCTTTTGTTTTTTTTTTGTGCTTTCTCTAATGGATTGATGTGAATTGTGAAACTAGCCGCACCAATGAAGCACTACTCCAAGAATTTACTTCCCCTAATGTTGTATATAAGTAATACTCCCGTAGTATTTGGGGGGGGGGGGGGGGGGGGGGCAAAAAAATGTATTACTATACTATTACTAAAAAAAATTAATAAACTGGGAGGGGCAATGGGCCCCTTAAGGTTAGGCGTACCTCCGCCCCTGCTAACTTGACACATAACACATACTACCTCCGTTCCTTTTTATTTAGCCAACTTTGACTTTTGCAGTCAAAGAAGATAAACTTTGATTGCAAAAGTCAAAGTTGGACTATGTGTGTACTTGAGTTATTTCCCGGAGATGATTAACTTTGATCCATTATATATTTATGTAAAAGTTAATAGATTTATACTTTTATGATAATATTTTCAACAAAGAATATTTTCATATAATTTTCATATTATCAATATTTTCGTGTATAAATATATAATCGGTCAAAATTGAACAACTTTGACTTGAAAAACAGTGTTTGGCTAAATAAAAAGGGACGGAGAGAGTACTTCGTATAAAGATTAATCACATACCCCACTCTATTTGGAGTTTTTTTTGAAAATTTCCTTCCTAGTTTTTATGGCCATTTTCTTCTTCTTCTTCTTCTTCCTGTATTCTTATTGCATTTCCTTTTTACTTATTTCTCTTTTTAATTATCTTTTTAATCTTTCTATTTTTAGAAAAGATGTTTTTCTCATTCTACTTTTTGCTATATTTTCATTTTTCTCCCATTTGTTGAATTTGTTCAAAAGTGGACTTAAATACTTACAACCCATTTGGTAGCCCTATTTTTCGGCTTATCAGTCAGTTTTTTCATCAAACACGTAAATTTTGATTTTACACGCTAAATTGTTAATAATAAGAAAAAGTAAGGTTGAAGTTAATTTTCTGGCTGTATTGCCTATTCTTAGATATAAATTTTTATTTAATTTATTACTAAAATATTTTCAATTTTTTTCATGAATCAGAATAAATATTAGAATTTCATAAATTTCAACCGTCGGCGTAAAATTTGTATTATATCCATTGCTTCTATTTTACTCTCATCATTTTGAGGAGTGTACCTTGAGAGATCAACCTAGGCGTGGAACTATCTCATGTTTACATAACACAATACTTATAATACCTAAAATTTATATGAATAGTTTTGGGTTCAACCTGCGCTAAAATTATATCTATCCACGTCAACTACACATCGAAAGAATTGAATGAAAGTTCTCCAATACACAAAGTTAAGATCTTAAATATTTATCAATGTTTTACATTATACGAAGTACTTGAACAGAAAAGCTAAAAATATGGCACCCATAAGTCCACCACTATGCATTTTCTTCCAACCCAGAATGAAACAAAATTTGCAGTCACACTATTTTTTCTGGAATTGAACGTATTGCTGTTGATTTTGAATGAGTCATGGTGTTAAGCATATATGGGAAATTCCAACCTTGGGGGATGAAAAACTAACACAGACCCCTTGCCAGGTTTTCAGAGGACCAAATTCTACATTTAACATCACTAGTATGCAATCACAAAAGGTATAAATAAATAATGTCCTATACTGTTATAATTCAAGAAAATCAGTTTTGGTCCATACTGCATTTCTAAGTCTGCTCAGATCTCTCCACTTCAAGGTCGTCCCAGCACCTTCACACACCGAGACAGAAAATATCTTGCTTCCTGAAATCTTCCTCCTACCAAGCCATTCATGTGGTGGCAGTATCAGGCCATCATCAAATTCATCATCTTCTTTTTCGTCTTCACCGCCAGTAGTCCGCCACTATCCCAACCGCCCCTAACGAATCCACAACCTTCATCCTCGGCTTGGCTACTATGATCATAATTATCACCCAGAAATGGTGGGGTGTAAGTAGTGACCTGGTTTGAACCAGTTTCATATATTTTTGACCAATCAGGTATGATGACTGGAGCTGAGTGTTGAATGATTTTGGGTTCATGAGTGGGTGGTGGGTTCTGGTTGGAGGATGTTCTTGGGATCATTTTTGCTGCAGTTGGCATCAGCCTTAGGACACAACTGGAGGCAGCAGATTCTTGTTGGACAGTGGGACTGCTCAGTTCTTTTTCCCTTTCATGCTGGAAACAGTCCCATACATCTTTTTCTTGAAGTTCTTCACTCCCGATTGAGGTCCAACCAGTGCTACCTTTGCTGTATAACCAGCCCCCATTCCTCCTCTCAAGTACTGACATCTACTTTTCACACAGGGGCATTTTTGTATTTTAAAAAAACTAGAATCTTTTTGCACAAAATGTGAGAAAAGTTTAAACATCATTACTTATTGGTTAATGAAAGAAAAGGGTATTCTTAATAATAATGTTTTACTATGAAAACCATGCAAAGAACATAATGAAGTAGCACTAAATAGGATTTGATGTAGCTAGCTTTCTTAAACAGATTCAAAAGGGCTTTTCAGATATTCTGGACAATCACTGCTAAACAGAAGTAAAGCAGAAGTTTTGAGCTGGTTGATTAATTAAGCATAAAGAATCATCGATAAAAGCTTGAAGGTGTTGAATCTTCAGCATTTCCAGTGACGATCTCCTTGATTACCTTAACCCTCCTATTAGGCTTTCTTCAATTCATAGTATTCCAAGAAAAAAAGGTAGCCCTGTGTTTAGACCCTCGAAGTCTCTTCAATAAATAATGTGCAAAAGTGTGTGCATGTGTTTGTTTTTTTGCCTTTTCTTTTCTAAATCAAAATTAACTTTTAATGGCCAATATTTGCGAATCCAAATAAGCATAGTAATTGACAAAATAAAGTTGGACCATTAGAACAATAGACAGCACTATAGAATACTAGAAGTGATGTCTCTTTTTGGCGGATAAGACTTAAAGCCACTTTAAACTTTGGACTGAGAGCAAAGCCATTGAAATGGAAGCAACCAAAAAAGACTATTTAGCTCTATCTTTCCCTAGCCCTTTGAATTCGAATCTGCACAACTGGTTTTGACATTATTCATTTCTTTCACCCACAACTTTGGCATCTTTACTAGATTCCACCACTTCATTCATAGTAGTTGAGTTTTATTAAAACATGATGATCTTTTTAGGATACTTAGTAATACATTTGTTAGTATTTTTTATGGTTGTGAAACCAACTATATAAATTCTTATCAGTTTCTAAAATGTGAGCTCATATCTTTATATCTATTCAATATAGAGTGAATTAAGATGTCTTGCAAGTGTGAAACTCAGAACAAATAATCAAATTTGTCTGGAAAATATTTCTAAAACATGCCCATTTTTGTTATTCAACATTCTTTTTAGTTTTTTATGGTGATCCAGAGAAGTTTTTCAGATATTTTCCCAATGATATTTTACTATTTTGAGTGGAAACAGAAAACTCAACGGGTGCCTAATTTACTGTTTCTAAGTGCAATGCATGTGTGGATATGATGTGTAGCAAACTGCCATTGATAGGAATTTTACATCATACAAGTATACAACAGTAGTGCCACAATATAATGTGCTTCATATGTGTTCCATATTAGTATTTCCATTCATTATTAAACTCTAATGCGATGCACCATTTTTTTAAATCAAATTCAAACCTGGCACATTACACACAATATCTAAGCTACTTTCTTACTTTCTTATTGCTTTCCAAGTGAAAATCAGTTTAAAACTTGTGGACTTTGCTTTCAATTGTTCTACTTTTGGGAATTTGGGGTTTAACTCAAAATCAAGAAAGCATAGGGAATAGTAAAAAATGTCATGCACAAAAATGTGGCATTTGTAATGCGCAGGGACCATTGATTTTATTTAAGTAATGTTATAGGAAACCCCTACAAGTTATACTTCAGAATATTCTACTACAGCTATAATCCATTGGCAAATAAATTACCTGCTGATCAACTCAAAATATTACTCATGCAAAAACAATGAAGATCGAAAGCTAAACAATACCCCTATGTAAGGGAAGCCTCTGCTCCAGAAACAATCTCCAATATATCACCAGTGATCTTAGCCTGGCTCTGCCGGTTATAAGCAATGGAGAGGTTCCTATTCAGCTCGATAGCATTATCAGTGGCATTACTCATTGCGTTCATCCTTGATGAAAGCTCGCTTGCAAATGACTCTTGAAGCGCCTTCAAAATTTGACTGTTCAAGTAAAGAGGCATCAATGCATCAAGAATCTGTGCAGGGTCTTGCTCAAACTACATATAAGGCGAAAACCCTTTTCTGTTTTCATTATTCCTATGATGGTCCCTCTCCACTGTTAGTTTCCCCTCCTTTGTGCTCAACCTAAAGAACTCATCCCCCTCCACATCAATGCTCTTCCCATTCACGTCTCGAACCTCTCCCTTTTTGGACAATGGAAGCAAAGTGTGAATTATAGGCTCAGACTTGATCAAAGACACAAACTTTGTATACAACAGCTCCACCTTATCAACCTCTTCACTCACAAATAAAGAGAAAACATTGTTTGCTATTACTTGTGCATCCTTTATGGTTGGAAATTTCCCTCCTTCCACATAACTATCCACTGTTTTGTCCTCCCTCCGTTTAAAAAAATAAGAATTCCCCTTTTTCCCAACACTTATTATGGTGCAATCCAAGCCAAGATCCGCCACTTCCTTTATACGAATCTCGGCTTTCTTCAGGATGGCATTGTTGAAACCTCCACATAGGCCTCTATCACCGGTGACGACAATCAGCGCAATTTTTTTCACAGGACGAACGGCTGTTAAAGGGACTTCGACGTCTTCCCCCCGGAGCTGCTCGTTCATGTTGTACAGAACCTCAACAAGGGCCTCGGCAAAGGGTCTAGAACTGACGGCAGCCTCTTGAGCTCTCCGAACCTTTGCGGCGGCCACCAATTTCATGGCCTCTGTGACTTTTTGTGTGTTTTTTACCGCCTCAATTCGATTTAGGACTTGACGAAGATTGCAGCAAATATGACGCGAGGGTGAAGATCGAGAATTTCTCTTGACTGTGGGTTTACAAATTGGAAATGGAGTAATGTGGGAAGAAGAAGAAGAAGGAAGTGAATTAACAGAGCTTCCAATTGCCCAAGTTGACAGCAAATATTATGTTAAGTACGGAGTACTACGTAGTACTCCCCCTTCCCGGATAGAACTTGACCGTTTGCTTTTGGCACAATATTTATGAGTTCAATTAATAGAAGAACAAATGTCTTGCATGCCCTTTGCCTTTTGGGGGGAATTAATCATATGCACTCAAATGTAAAAAGTGGGTGGGTAGTGAAGGGTAGTTAAGACATTTAGAAGCTGTTCTGTTTGTCTTAATCTTATTACTTATTCCTTATTCTTATTTTATTCAGATCAGATCAGATCAGAAAAATTCATATCAAATCAGAAACATTCAGATCAGATCAGATCAGATCAGAAATATTCAGATCAGATCAGATCAGAAACATTCAGATCAGCTCAGAAAAATTCAAACATGATTTATCACTTTTATTTTTATATTAATTATTATTATTACTATTATAATTAAAATATTATAATTATTATTAATAATATATTAATATAATAATAATATAATAATAATAATAGTATAATAATAATAATATTAATAATATAAATATTATTATTATTATTATATTTTAATAATAATATAATACATTAGTAATATAATAATAGTAATAATAGTAATAATAATATATTAATATAAAATAGTAAATGTATTAATATAATTACCATATTATAATAATAATGATGATGATGATGATAATAATGATAATAATAATAATAATAATAATAATAATAATAATAATAATAATAATAATAATAATAATAATAATAATAATAATAATAATAATAATAATAATAATAATAATAATAATAATAATAATAATAATAATAATAATAATAATAATAATAATAATAATAATAATAATAATAATAATAATAATAATAATAATAATAATAATAATAAAAATAATAATAATAATAATAATGTTATTATTATATTATTATTGTTATAATAATAATACTAATATTAATATAATTCATTATTATAATATTATCACTGTTCTGATATAATAATATAATTAAAATTATAATTATAACTACAATTATAATTATACTTATATTTATATTTATAATTATTATTGTTGTTGTTGTTGTTATTGTAACTATTATTATATGAAGTAATTATATTTCTATTTATAATTATAGTTATAATGCAATTATAGAAATCAATATTACAAGTATAGTTACAATAATAATTATATAAGTAATTATAAAACTATAGAGAGAACAGGTTTACAAGACATTAGGTTGGACCGGCTAATGGATCGGATTCGATCCTAAGAAGTTATTGCAAATAAGTGTAACACACAAGTCTTGTGAACAAATAGAAGTTTAATTGTCTTTTGTCATAAAAAACAGAGTACTCATATTGAGGGAAACCACCGTGTATATTTACTCATGTTTTGGGAAGTTTTCCCTAAATAACTCTATTTAACCAACTGAGAGCATCTCCAATGCTACAACGTGCACGGTGCACATGTGGCATGAGAGAGATAGACACAAAAGATTGATTTTAAGACATTTCTCTCTCCGTCTTTCCACGGTCTTTTGTGTTTTTTGTAAGTTTTTCTCTGCAATGTCAATCACAGTGTCTACATCTAGACGTTGTGCTTGACATTGTGAAGAAAAACTTATCAAAATGATATAAATCCTTCAAATAAGGAGAGAGATATTTTTATTATTGTTTTTTGATTGGCTATCTATCATGACACGTATGCACCGTTAACGTTTTAGCATTGGAGATGCTCTGAGTAACTGAAATTCAACTCTGACTATATACGGAGCAAATGGAAGTGCATACCAAATACAGAAGATGAAAACAGTATTCGTCGAAAGAAATGTAAAAATCAACATACGCTGTTTCTGGTCCCTGGGAACGCTAGTGATTTCAGTCGGCCATCTATACTCGTTGAAGGAAGCATTGCCTACCCGGAAGAAGCGGTGTTCCATCTGGGGACGCCGTGCCCTGAAGAAACGTCCTTTGAACGGCGGCAGCATGTCTCCTGTCGATGGCAGCAGCGGCAGAGGGCGGAGGCTAATTTCTTAGGGCACCCCCAAGTTCAACAAGTATACCCGTTGATATGGGATACGGGCTAATTTCTTAGGGCACCCCTAAGTTCAACAAGTATGTCCGTTGATATGGGATACGGGCTAATCCGCGCACCCGAACAAATGCTGGGCGCACCCGATTTCTTTCATGATCGGTCAACCTCTTTAATTTACTAATCATTTTGATTACTCCCTACTTGATTTAATTGCTTGGCAGCACCATTAAATTAGTTTATCACACGCCAGTCCCCCCCCCTTTTTTTTAATCCAATTGTTATGCCTCTTCATCCGCATTTTTATAAAAAAAATATGTTAAGTTAAATATTTTTTATGATCTTTAATATGACATCCAAAAAAATCATGTCTGTTAATATGTTTAATGGTTGCTAATGTTCATTTTACTAAAGTGTTAATTCAAAACACATCAAATTATTATAAGACAATTGTGAAGTGTACATATTAATTTGACCCAAATTCTAATATTATGATCAATAACATATAATTATAGTGCTAATAAGGATGCTTTTAGTTGGACTGATATTTTTTGTTTGATCTGATTTGATATGATCTTTTCTAGTCTATTCTGATAGTTATTTATTCTATGTTCATTATGCAACTATCAAAGTCTGATTTGATTTGATATGGTTTGGTTTAGGTATGGACTAGATATGGTTCGGGGGTAGTGAATTAGTTTTGCAATTGATTGAATTGATGGGTGTGCGTGTGAACTCTCTATAGTCTGTAGCTTGCATCGCTTTTCATTTTCATTAAAACTAAGGATAAGATAGTCTTATTAAGGTAACACTAGATTTTCACCCGAGATAACACTATGTATTATCTAATTGTTATGTAAATACTTATACGTGTAATTGCAAGGATTTATGTTCATATTGTTTAGGATCTTTTTACTTGGACTGTAATTTGTCCCAGACCAGACCAGACCAGATTAGACCAGACCAGACCAGACCAGACTTGGATAGTTATGAAAATACAAAGAAACCAGACCAGACCAGACCAGTTCAGACCAGACCAGACTAGACCAGATCAGACCAGACCAGCAAATTATAGTCCAAGTAAAAAGATCCTTAGATGTGAAAGTTATATATTGAAAACTATTAGAGGATAATTTATTTATGGAGCACATATGTTTTTAGAATGTTTTCCTAATAATGTAATTGAGTTATATTAGGAGACTTTCTCCTTTTTACATTGGAACCGATCCTTGCAAATCGGCACTCCAAAGTTTTATTTAAAAACTACATGTACACATATTTGATATACAGATTAATCATTCCTTTTGCTTCAGCTCAATTCTCACGTAAATCATCATGGTATCAGAGTCTCGGTAATTAACCATGCCGAACGAAGAAGGTTTTGTGTCCGGCGATAGTGCCGGACAAGGTGAATCAAATACATATGGAGAAAATCGTTGCAAACCCATGGCAAAAGTACATGCTCCTGCGGTTGAAAACTCAAAAATATCACAGCCAATTAATCATGTTGGGGACGGAAGTCTTAGATAGTCCACACCTTTGCCAGGTTTTTCCGCCGAACAATGGAAATCTTTGATTTCAACATTTGGCAACCTTTCATCCTCCTCTAATGATCGAATGGATGGTAAGTTTGATACGGATGCTTGGATAATTGATACTGGAGCCACTAATCATATCTGTGGAAATTTGACTCTATTATGTCAGATTAAAAATATTGAATCATGTACGGTTGGTCTGCCAGATGGGCAGACGGTTATGGCCAACAAAGCAGGACGTGTGATTATATCAGACAATTTAATTTCAGAACATGTTCTTTTTGTTCCAAATTTAAATTGCAATCTTATATCTGTTCTTTTTGTTCAATTCACTCATAACGTATGTGTTATTCAGGACCGTCTCTCGAGAAAACTGATTGGAACGGGTGAGGGGCGAAATGGACTGTATTATCTACGGGAGGATTTTACTGCTCGAGTTTTGACTGTTAGAGGAGGAGGTTCACATAATAAGATTGTGGAATTGTGGCACCAGCGACTAGGACATCCATGTTCAAAGGTGATGGAAAAATTAGATCCTGTGAGTGGAATAAAGAATTCTGAGATTTTACCTTGTGATGTTTGTTTTAGAGCTAAAGAAACTAGCTAGGGATCCTTTTCCGATTAGCTCTAGTACAACTCATGATGTTTTTGAATTAATACATTGTGATTTGTGGGGACCTTATCATACTCCTTCATGTGGTGCTAAACAATTTTTAACTATAGTGGATGATTATTCTCGAGCGGTATGGGTTTATCTTCTTTTGGATAAAAGAGAAGTGTTTAAAATGTTCTTGTCTATCGTAGCTATGGTTGAACGTCAGTTTGGTAAGAAACTTGTTGTTGTAAGGAGTGACAATGGCACTGAGTTTAATTGCTTAAAAGATTTTTTCCGTCAAAGTGGCATTATTTTTCAAACATCCTGTGTTGGTACATACACCCCAACAAATGGACGTGTTGAACGCAATCATAGGCATATTTATTTTAAATATAGCTCGTGCGTTGAGATTTCAGGGGCATCTGCTGATTACTTTTTGGGGCGAATGTGTATTAACTGCGGCACATCTTATTAATCGCACTCCTTCTGCAGTTCTGGAATATAAGACACCATATGAAGTTTTATTTGGTGTCAGACCCTGCTATAAATCTTTGCGTGTTTTTGGTTGCCTGTGTTATGCCTTTAATATGAAATCAAAAGGTGACAAATTCACTAGTCGGAGTCGCAAGTGCGTTTTTGTGGTATATGCTTTTGGAAAGAAAGGCGGGAAAATATCACTTATAGACTTAAACGGGAGAATTATATCATTTATGTCACCATTTAAATTTTCTTTCAAAAATAGATTAGTAAACTTTTTCTTTTCAAAAATAGACATGTCTTCATATACCCGTTCCGTTCACTGGAATCCATATTCACAAGAAGCCACGTCATCAGCACCTTATTTGATACTCCGTAAAATAAAACTTCGTCTGTCGTACCAGCGAGCTAAGCTCCAGGTTGACTTAGTTTTAGGTTTTTTATAAGAAAAAATTGTACCAACGTACGGACATGTAAATAAATTAAAATAATCAAAAGTAAATGTAAATGAAAAATTTAAAATTAAAATATTAACAATATTAGAAGTAAGGAAAAAACAGAAAATGCATAATAATAAGTACACAGCCTAAAATTTATAAATTACTTTTGAAAATAGAAAAGGTATTTAAAAAATACGTATTGAAAACACCTTATAAAAATAAAAACCGAAAATAAAAATGAATCAATTGTGGATTGGTAAGATTTTTAAAAGAGTTTGTATACACCATAATTTATATAAAAATATAAAAAATTAAGAAAATAAAATTGAAACAATTTTTTTGAAATCAATACAAAAAAGGGAAGTATAAATTGTACTCCCTCCGTCCCGCTAATATTGTCTCATTTTAACTTTTCGGGAAATCCCACTAAAATTATCTCATACTACCTCCGTCCCTTAAAACTTTGACAAAAATGACCGGCACGAAGAATAATAAAGTAAAAATTGTGTGATTGAGGTTTGTGCAGAGGAGAGAGAAATAACAGAAACCACAAAATAATAGATTAAAAGAGAAAGTGGCCAAACTTTTTGGAACGTCCGAAAGAGGAAAGATAACAAAGTCCTAAGGGATAGTGGGAGTATCAAATTTGGTAAAGTTTGTGTAGCTTTAAATCATTCTTACTTTATCAATTAATATCAACTA